GGTTTAGAATCTCAAGAATCTTAAAGACATCAGAGGCAAACTTCACAGTTTATCCTTCCACCATCCCATAATATACTGTGGAAAGAAACCACAACAACATTCTCTGCTTCAGATTTTGAGCATCAAAAGTCACGGTTACATCAGTGTTTTCATTGGCAGCGCTTTACTATTGTTACAGAGTCATTGAGATAACCATTGAAAGCATGGCATGAGCTATTTCTAGATCAAAATAGAAGCGGTGCAATTCATCTTCTAAAATACAACTCTATAAACAAAGTCTGTTTTGGAGATTTTTCAGGAAGCAAGACACAACTTTGCAATGTGTGCAATTACTTTCACCTCCACTAACAATAATGGGAAGTCTCTGTAACTTTAAATCTCACAAACAAAGTTGTGGCAATATTTCCATCACTTAGTTTCCCTCTCTCTACAGCAGGAAACCTCACTTGCTTTTTTTTTTTTAACTGCTCCTTTTATATTAAGCCCATACTTTAGAGGCAACAGAGCAGAATTTAGATTTACATCAAATGCTATTTACATTGCAGGGCTGTGAGTTTAAGACTTAAAAAAAACCCCACTTTTATTCAAACATGGAAACTCTGTTCATAAGGGCCCAGATTCTATTCTTAAGTAAATATTACAACCCAAATTCAGATAATTGGGGTATGCATTATTTGCAATAAATGTGTGTAAATGTCTTCTTTTGTGTCAGTGGAGCCTATACCCTCTTTAGTAGACACAGAAATGTATCATGCAAGTGCATAAAAAGGCATCAAATAAGATATCTGAAATTTAATAATATTTTTAGAAATGAGGAAATGGTGATTGAGGAAAGAAGGAAGCAACCTATTTACTGCAACACTGACACATCTTGGAGGAGAACCAGACAGCATCTGGGAATCTGCCTACAAATGAATGTTAACTGTGTTACTCTGCCTGCAGGGATCCCACCTGCCAGGGATCAAACTGAGGTCACTCTTCACCAATCTCATTACATACTTATATAACAATAACAGTTCTCTCAAAACAAAACAGAATAGTCCAACAGTTTGCCTGTATCAGCCCTATGACTGACATGATGTGGGGAAGTGAAACGTGTGATTATAGAATACCAGTCTATTCACTAACTTCCTTGTGATCATGCAGCCGTTGCACATTAAGAGCATGACCAAGACACACGAGCTTTGTTTCCACACAGCTTTTAAGCCCTTTGTCTCTTCGAATCAGTGATAACTTGAAGATGGCCTTCGGTCTAGTATTCTGTGTTTAGCTAAAATCTTATTACATATCTCTAATTGCCACAATGTGCACCCATATGTTATCTGCAGGTCATATGAAAATCTAATCTATAAGTGCTTGCTTAATGGGAGAGCTGTTTAGTCCATTTTGGTGCTTTTTAGTAATATGTCACATAGACACGAGCCTTTTTCGTTTACAGAAAATCTTATTAGTATGAAAGATAAGAGAGACTGTTTAGAGATTAGAAGATTAGTATGGACATCACCCTGAGGAAAAGCATCTGGTATCTGGTGGTAACACATCACGATGACCGCGTTGTTTAATTTGTTTATTTGGATTGTACAACAATTTAGGGCTTTACTGCCATTTGTTTAAAACACAACAACGAGAAGATCAAAGAACCCTGCATAGTGCTTTCCGGTTGATAAAGAGACCAGTCTAGTAGTTTTGAGTCGGCAAATTTTAGGAATTCGCCGAAACAGTAGACATTTAACATGCTGAAGGCTCTTCAGTAGGTAGGACAGAACTGAATATACAGTCCTTATCAGAAGTTTAAGACAACTTGAAAAATGGCAAAAAGTCATATTTTGCATTTTTGGATCTTAACAAGGTTCCAAGTAGAGCTTCAACATGCAAAAAGAAGAAATTGGAGTGAGACACAACTTTTTTTTGAGCATGCATTTTATGCAAACAATGCTTAAGGCCCAACAGCGGCTGCACTTCCTGAGGGTCCTCAGGAAGTACAAGCTGAACTCCAACCTGCTGCTGACCTTCTACCAATCATCCATTGAGAGCCTGCTAACTTACTGCATCACGGTATGGTACGGCAGCTGCATTAAGGCGGATAGAGCGAGGCTTCAGAGTGTAGTCAAGACAGCACAAAAGACCATCGGCTGCCCTCTCCCCTCCCTGATGGACATTTATTTCTCCCGCTGCCTCAGCAGAGCAGCAAACATCATCAAGGACAGTTCCCACCCTGGTTTCAACATGTTCAGCCTGCTACAGCACAAAAACCCACAGACTCAAAAACAGTTTCTTCCCAAAGAATATAGCCACCCTGAACTCACACATGCACCGGTAAGCCCCCCCATTTTCCCCCCATTTCCCCCCCCAATTCCTCTATGAACCACCACTGTGCAATACCAAATTCTATATGTTCTGTGCACTAACCCAATTGAATATACATAACACTATTTGTTACATATTATTTTTTAACACTGGCATGTATATTTGTACATTTTAAGTATTTTTTCTCTGTTAATAGTGCCAATATGTATATGGTGCTGCAGAACATCAACAGAGATTTAAGGCTTATTTCGTACCAAAATACTGTGAGTTGGGATAGAACAAATCTGCATTTTACAATACTCTCTGACTTGTTGGATTTTACCTGTTTTACCTGACTATTAAGTAACATAACATTTAATCTGACATCTTTGTGTAAAATTGCTTTTATCCACCAAATGGAAACCTACTACGCAAAGATAACCATCTGTTCAGGCGATGTTGATTACCCTAATGATATATTGCCATAATGCCGAGTGAAAATGCACTTCTAAAGAAAGTGGCAGCATTATTCACTGCAATAATTATCTTACGGGAAATATTACAAAGTGCCATAAATGGATTCTTTTGTCTCTGCACTTCAGTGGTGTAAGGAACTCTCTTCCCAACAATGCTAATGGGACGTGTTTCCATATTATATTCCTCAGAGATATTGCTCCATATTGACATGATAGCATCACACAGTTGTTGCAGATGTGTTGGCTGTAGTGCATCCATGATGTAAATCTCCTGTTCCACCACATCACAAAGATGCTTTATTGCAGGGGTGTCCAACTCCAGTCCAACTACTGCCCTGCAGCTTTTAGATGCATCCATACTCCAACGCAGCTGAATCAAATGGTTGAATTACCTCTTCAGCATGCCATGAAGTTTGGCAAAGGGCTGGTAACAAGCCATTCATTTGATTTAGGTGTGTCGGAAGACGGATGCATCTAAAAGCTGCAGGACAGTAGCTCTCGAGGACTGGAGTTGGACACTCCTGCTCTGTTGGATTGACATCTGGTGACTAAAGAGCTCATTTGAGCACACTGAACTCATTTTCATGTTCAAGAAACTAATTTGAGATGATTTTAACTTTATGACATGACAAGCTATCGTACTGGAAGCAGCAATCTTAAGCTGGGAAAATTGCAGTCATAAAGGCATGGACATGGTCAACAATGAAATTTCGGTAGGCTGTGATGGATTGCAGCAGATGGCCGCCCCTCTCTGAGCCTGGTTCTGCCGGAGCTTTCTTCCTGTTAAAAGGGAGTTTTTCCGTCCTATTGTCGCCAATGTGTTTGCTCATAGGGGGTCATTTGATTGTTGGGTTTCTCTCTGTATGTATTATTGTAGGGTCTACCTTACAATATAAAGTGCCTTGAGGCAACTGTTGTTGTGATTTGGAGCTATATAAATAAAATTGAATTGAATTGAACCGTGTAACTTTTTTCCAGTCTTCTGTGGTATAGCTTACAAAATGTAACTTCAGTTTTCCTGTTCGGAGAAGTCGCAGTCGGTGTGGTTTAGCCCATCTGCTTCAAGTTTTGATGTGTTGTGCCTTCAGAGATGCTCTTCTGCATACACTATTTTGTATAATAAGTGTTGACTTGAGTTAACTTTGCTTTTCTAACAGCTCAAAGCAGTCAATACGTTCTTATCCTTTCACATCTGGCATCAAAAAAGCATTTTTGCCTGGAAAACTGCAGTTCACTGCATTTTTTTTTCTTTTTCAGAGTGTTCTCTGTAAACCCTAGACATGGTTGTGTGGGAAAATCCCAGCAGATCAGCAGTTTCTGAAATATATCAGAACAGCGCATCTGGCACCAACAACCATGCCACATTTAAAGTTACTTGAAAGACCCTTTTTTCTCATTCTGATGCTTACTTTGAATTTCAGCAGATTGACTTGACCATTAAATTGCCGAGATGTCACTGGCTGCGTTAAGAACCAGAATTAGCTAGCTAGTGAGTATATACATCAGGTCAGAAAATATTTAACATGTAAACATGAACTATGTCAAGCTCAACTGTTTAGTTTTGTAAGAACTTACTAAGAGGCGTACATGGGACAAAAAGTGCCTGGTTTCATTCAAATCCATATCACGGAAAACTGCGTAACAGACACACCCGTCCGCCATGTCCATTTCACGGTTTACCTCTCGAAAGCGTGAAATGGAAACACATGCAGAAGTTACAGTATATGCAGAAGCTGCAATACCAGCATGAGGAGATAACATATTTAAAGCCTTTTGCGCCCTTTTTGTCTGTTTGCTTCATAGACTTTTGTCCCCTGCAGCCCCTTTTTTCTCTCTTTCTTTTAGTCCCTTTTCTTTTTCTGTTTCTCCACCACCTTCTCCTGTTTTTCACCAAAAACAGGCCTTCAACCCTGTGTCCGCTCTGGTATAATACCCACTCTGACAATAATGTGAATAATGTAATAAACAAAAGAAACAAGATGAACAAGATGAGCCTACAGAGAGTCTACAGTGCTCCTCTTTTTGTTTTTGTCTAATTTTGATATTAGTATGGCTTGTTGCATGTCATCTTTGAATAAGGTGCAACCCAGACCCGACAGACAGGGAGCATTCAGACTGAATGTGAAATGAGAGAAGTGAGGTTTTTTTGCCATGCCTTCTTTTTTTTTTGGTGACATCACTTTAATTACAGTTTCCTTTAGGAGCGTGAGGCAGAGACTGGCAGACTAGAGTGGGGGAGTTAACTGTTAACAGTGCAGCAGGACATCTGAACACACTTAGGAAAATGACTCTTAGACCTACAAGGTATGTATGAATCAAATATACTCTCTATATTTTTAAATCTTTCATGTGAGATATAACCAAAAAAAAATCCCCTAAGAATGGAGAACAATTTTCCAATTGTTTTATTTTTTAGAATTATTTTGTTAGTAACCATGTGCTCAAGCAGGTTAAATATACTCTGATGTGTGTAAAGCAGGTAATACAACTACTGATAGCTGACAGCTGCTGTGAAAATGAACTTCTTGCCTTTGTTGTTACAGCGAGTGAGACTTAAAAAAAAAACATGTCTTTTTGGGTGTAATGTAGAGTATAGAAGTATAGAGTTACATATCGATGATGACCAGAAGAAGCATCTTTTTCTCTTTATTTTGTTATTCATTTATTCTTTTTTGTTGTACATTAAAACATCAGTTGTACTAAACGATATGAGAGCTCAGGTTTTGCCTAAGCATGTTCTTCTAAAGACGAGTTTAATCAATGTCAAACATTTGGTTATTTTAACCAACAGAAGTTTCTGCCCTCCATTGTGCCGTCTGCCACATTGCTGCCAACTGCTCCTTACGCCAACAGAAACAAACTTTGGAGCAACTTTCAGTGATCTTAATTGCTCTTAAACATTCAAACACATGGATGTAAGCATAGGGTACATACAGTATGATTTGAAAGAACAGATTGCCAATTAGGTAACATGATAGGGAAATTAAGCAGAAGCATAAACGACATCATGCTATGCCTGATGCTCATTAGTGGAACAAGGTGGTTCAGTCTCAGACAAGCTTATATAATTTTTGAGTGAAACCTACAGCTGCAATGGGGGCATTACTCATTTCATTCACATGGATTTAGAGGTGGAAAAAGTCTGTTTTAATCTTTTTTTATTGGGGTTTTCATTAGCACCTTAAAACTCTACTGCTGATCAGCTTGCTGCAGATGTGCAAACACCCTTATTGTTCAACAATGTCTTTATGTTTTAAGCTTATCCTTTGGTTCAATACAAAGGTCATAGCTGCAAAGTACCTTGCTCCACAACCAGAAATGTATTCATCACATTTATTACAGGCTTTCATGTTCAGCTCTTTTCTTGTTGAAACAAGAGGCTAAGTCAGTAGGTGGAGATTTCTTCAGCAATCAACTAGTTGGAAAACTGAACCTGGTCGACAGAGAAAGAATGGCAAACAGCACACAATGGATGTACAGTTAGGACATCTGTTCATTAATATACTTATTTACTTCTTTTCTTAGAATAAGATAAGAAGAATGACATCAGTCTCATATCTGTATGGTAAATATTGTATGCAGCAGGGCAACTGTTGGGTTTGCAGAGACGATAGCCAGCTAAGTGCTGGCTAAAGCTCCATATTTATCGCATAGTATTTTACATAAACTCAAGGTAAGAACCTAATGTACTGTTGATGTTTAACTGCCTATTTACTTCATGTCTCATTTTGTCTTTACAGCATCCCAGACTACAGCACCACTATATCATATGGAAACAGTAACAACACCAATGAGACTCATTGTCCAGATCACGAACTATGGGAGTGGCTCACTGCACACCAACCAGTGTATATTCTGCTCATCGCCGTGCTGGGAATTATGCTTAACATGTTCATTCTGACTGTCTTCTGCTTCCACAAGAAGGCGTGCACCATAGCTGAAATCTATTTGAGCAACCTGGCTGCTGCTGACCTAGTCCTGGTGTCCTGTTTGCCCTTCTGGGCCGTCAACATGCTCAATGATTTTAAATGGCCTTTTGGTCATTTCATGTGCAAAGTTATCAATGTGGGAATTAACATGAATGCCTACTGCAGCATATACTTTCTTGTTCTGGTTGGCATCGATCGCTATGTGGCGCTGGTACATGCGATGTCACATGGAAGAATGCGTAGTCCAAAATATGCTAAACTAGGGTGTCTGCTGACATGGGGTTTTGGCTTGCTTCTGAGTATACCCGTGTTCATCTTCAGGGAAGTGAGATATTTCCCTGAATATGGTACTGTGTGCTATCTAAACTATCCATACCACAACGTACACGTTATCTGTGATGGGATATTGATCATTTTTAGCTTTGTTATTCCCATTTCAATTATCTCCTTTTGCACTTTTAATATTATTCAGGCTTTGAAATTGCAAGCAATTGAGAGGTTCAATGCTGAAAACACAGAACGAAAGGCCACCATTTTGGTCCTGGCAGTCCTTGTAGCCTTCCTAATTTGCTGGGTGCCATACCATGTAATCACCATAGTGGATGTGCTTTTACGAAGTGGGATACTGGAAGGATGTCACTTTGAACATGCTGTGGACATCAGCATCCAGATCTTCACTTACTTAGCCTTCTCTAACAGCATTCTTAACCCGATCCTATACGTTATTGTAGGAAAGAACTTCCGGAAAAAAGTCAGAGAACTCTTCCAGCAGTGGGGCCACCAGAGGAAAACCTTAACTGACTCCACACGTTCAAACCTGTCCTCCACATTGAAAACTTCTGTATAAAATGCTGTCTGCAAATTGCTTTTTGCACACAAAAGCACAGAAGGATAGTGGGCAGTCATTTAATGATATTGTCTTAAACTAAATGGTTCAAAT